CATATATCTGAATCACAACTTTAGCTTACTGATTCATTATTCAAAACTCACACTAGCTTACTGATTCATTGCCTTTTGTTCCCATGTATATGTTGTATATAATTTTTCCTGCTGCATGAAAATGATTTGGGGAACCACTTGCAAACTGTCTAATAAACACATTACTTTCAATCTGATAAACTTAGAATTGGGTGCTTTTCTGAAGTGGATTTGCATTTAATTAATTGAAATATGTGATCCTGCCTTGCTTCCATTGCAGATCTGAAAGACAACTCTGAGGTTGAGATGTCAGATATCAAGAAGAATTTTCAACGTTTATACGACTACAACGTCATGTTACGAGAAAAGTTTGTAGAAACGCAATCCTTGCTTCACACTTTAGCAGCTAAGTCCTTGTCTCCTGGGAAAGAAAGTGAGAAATGACATTGGTTAGTTCTTTAACCACATAACTCCTGTCAGAAATTGCATAAGCGTGGACTTTCTTCAGATATGTTCTCGTGGAACTAATACTGTTCTTTAACAATTCATATCCCGTTATGGAGGCAAAATTCTTCAACCTTTGTCTCACCTACTTAGTTCACCACGAGCAGAAAAGAAGAGGGGATATAACTTTTGCATGAAGAAGCCATTCACATCCTGGAAGGAGTCAGTTTATTCAACCAAAGCTATATACGGAATAGCTTTGTTGGTCTGAATGTAAGATTGTTTGCAGGTGAGTTGCACTGTGGGGACTAATCTTACTGGTATGAGGATCGAAAAGCAGATTATCACATGATTATTGAATCTAAATCATATTCTCTGTACCATACAAGGGACCAAAATGAGAGAAATACTAAACAATGTATTCAAACAGATGATTGGTTTATGAGGATTGAAAGAAATCATGGGAACAAATCCTGCATTTATAAATGTCTAACTTCAACTTCTAACTCCTAAAACTAATCCTAGAAAACTCATAATTTCTTCATAAAAAATTATGTTTAATTCGGCTTCTACTAAACGTTCACATTACAAGAGCATCTGGCTCTTCGAACTAAAGGTGCATCAATCCTACCCCTTTGTAGTGGTTCCATTCCATTCTCCTACGTTAAAAAATTTGTACATATTTAAAAAATAAGAAATTCCACAATATAATAATAGAAATCTATAAGTTGATGGAGTGGTAAGTATTTTAATATTGAAGATTTATTTCTCTATTAATAGTTTAAAGCAGAGTAATTTACGATAAATTGCACTACAATATTCTTATATAATGAACTAATAATGTCGGTTTTAGAAGTAAAAAAATTAAGGTTACGTTTGGTTTAATGGTTAGAAAAGAGCTATAACATGATAAAGTTGTTTTTAGAAATTAGAATAATGGAGTTTTAATGCATGCACCTATTGCAAATACCACAGCCATTTGATCAGTGTGGCTCCAATTCCTGGCCCCATAGGGAGCCCAAGTGACCGTGAGCTTATCTGGACGGATTAAGGAGACTTTGAAAAATAAAAAAATAATAGCACTAGAAAGGTGGTTATTTTATTTTAATTAATTAAATTAATTTATTACACTAACAACAAAATTTAATTGATTATACTAATAATTTTCTTTTTCATCCTCTAAATCAAACAAACTTATAGGGGAGAATTCCTGAATAGAGCAGTGGTTGCTCTCCTAGTAAGAGTTTTTATTGAATCTCTCAAAAATGTAATTATGTTAAAAAAAAATTATAAGGACTCATTTGGATTAATAATTGGAGAATGGTGATTTAATATCTAATTATTGAAAAAGGGGAAAAAAAAAAAAAAGAAACCGTGTATTTGGGGTAAATAATATTTGTAAGGGCATCTAAAAAAGAGAAAAGGAATGGGAGAAGAAAATCCTTTTTCCTTTGCCAAACATGCCCCAATATATATAATCTCTTCCACAGCGTACAGCCCAAGCTCGTCTGACATCGGCTTCTCTTTCCTTCCACTCCACCACAAAACCCTAGCGTTCCGACGTTCTTAGATTCTTCTACGCAGCTCTGCAACGATGGGTAGGTCCTCTGCTCCCTTTCTCCGTACGAATCTCTTCTTCATTCCTGTCTATTATTATCTTCGATTATGTTTTGCAGATCTACATGTTCAGATTTAGGGTTTTCGTTCTAATTTCTTCTCTCTTTAAGTTCCTTTTTCCTTTTTATTTTTAAGCTGTAATTTTCATTTTGTTTTTGATTATGATTGCGGAAAAAAGCAGCGAAATTCGACTCTGTATATTTTGCTCGGCACTGAATGAACTTCATAGTGCATGATAATTTAGATTTTTTTATTTTAGAATACGTAGAAATTGTTTTTTGCTTTTGAATTCTACAGAAGATTTGCAATGTATTGAGCTTAATTTTTACTCTTTTTTTTTTTTTATAAAAAAAATTAAAATCATGGTGTTTGCATAATTTCTTGGTGGGTTTTTTAATCATGAACTGACGTAGAACATTATTTAGTAGTAATGTAATCTTAGTTTGTTTCCATGCAACTAAATTGGAGTTGTATATTAATATGACGAAGAATGAAAATGTTCTTAATTTATGAATGAATTTTTTTCCCTCTTTGCCCTTTTCAATTCATAGATATTGAGGAGGAGATTCGCGCATTGCAGCTTGACTCTGCAGGTAGTTTATTTATATTTGAATAAGGGATCTCTCTCTCTTTTCTTTTATACTTTTTCCTTTCTCTTTTTATCTTTCTTAAGTGCTACACTGCTACTGTTGGTTCTTAACAGAAGGTAATGGGGTTATAAATAGAGATGATGTAAAGCCAGACACTGAGATGACTGATAAGATGGATGAAGGTTGGTAAATATTGTGTGTACTGTGCATTTATGTAATGGTTATGTATTTATAGTAATTAAGGCTACATAGAAGATATTTGAGGGAAATGGAGTTTTGTTGTGAGTTTGTTGTATCTTACAAATATAATACTTTTATCTCAAAACTTGAAGGCGGTGCTATTTTGTTAAGTTCAAAATAACATACACTATATGCTTTTATGTTAACTAAATTTGATTTGATGTTCTTAGACTTCCTCCTTTGACGGAATCTTTTTTGGATTGCTATTGTTGGACCTTTTCAGAACATGATAGTTGGGCACGCAATCCGGAAGGTGCAAAGATAGAAGAGGTTGAGATGGCTGAGAAGATAGATGAAGGTTGGTAGTATTATTTAACTTCTGCATTAATGTTATATTGCTATATGTTTTTGTCAATGAATAGAGCAATTAGTTTTTTCCTTCTTTTTTTTTCTTTTTTTGGATCAACACAGAACAGTTAGTTTTTTGTTGTGTGTTTTTATAATATTAGTCTACTAATTTCCTTCTAAGATTTTCTATCGGTGCCCAAGTGGTGGCAGCTTATTTATCACTATTGTGATCTCTGCATAGAATATAGATATAGTGCTTCTGGCTTCTGCCTGAGATAAGATTTAAGAGTGAAACTTGGTTTAGTTGCTTCCATCATAATAGCTACAATAAAAATTGACCATTTAGATATTTGTATCTATTTTATTTTTCTATTTTATTTTGCTCATTCTTGATAAGTTTTTTTTTTTTTTTACAAGTGCATATTTGTGATGCTTTTTTCCCTTTACTTCATTCTACCTTTTTTTTTTCTTTTCCTTTTCAGGTGCAAAGGATAGTATAGTCTCTCAGCAAGTTAAGGTTGAACCCAAAGGTTGCTTCCCTTCTCTTCTAAAATACATAAACACCGCAAACTGCAGTAATATGTATTATGTTTTCTACTTCTACAATCCAATTATCATTGTCTTGTTCTTATGTTTTGGGTTGGATTTGCAGTGAAAGATGAGGAAGCACCAGCTCTTGAAAATGCTGAAGTTCTTGATGAGGTGGAAGAAAATAAGAAACGCCACTTGAATGTGGTGTTCATTGGTCATGTTGGTAGGTTTTTCTACTTATTGTTTAAATTAAAAATTGGGGGTTTTTCTTTTCTATGTCCTTTATTATTCTCTATGAACTGGAATGTTCAAAGGCCAAATAAAAGGGAGAAATGTGTTATTTATTAGCATTTTAGTTTGAGTTCAGAGATTGGTTGACTAGATGCTGCGTAGAAATAATTTCATGGATTGGCATTTTCTGAGATCTGTTGAGGAGTTGACTGTGTTAATTGTTTCCTTGAACATATTGTATACATCCTTGAATGATAATAAACTTTCAAAATCTTAAGTTAAAATCTTATGGTAGAAAAAAAAAACTTATGCTTTCCTCTTTCTGTCTAGTATCTACATACTTTTGAGAAGTTTCAAGCTTTCTTTCTTGGATATTATATGTTGTTTTTATGGAAAGGAGTTTTTAGTTTGTTTAAAGTTTCAACCTTTTTAATTTGGCAACTTTGTTTTATTTGGCACTATAAGGGACAATTGCTGATCAAAGTGAGGGATGTTTGCTCTTTTTAATCACAAATGTTGATGGTCCTATCTCCTTAGACTTTTGATCTAAATGGTATGTTTTGCCTTTGTTTTGTAATTGGTTTTTAGATGCTGGGAAGTCAACAATTGGAGGACAGATACTCTTCCTTAGTGGTCAGGTTGATGACCGTACGATCCAAAAATATGAGAAAGAAGCAAAGGACAAAAGTAGAGAAAGCTGGTGAGACTTTACATTCATTCTTTGTTCTTTACATGGAAAATAGATGCTTTTCCTACATTAAACTATTTGCCTAAGAGAATGATAATGCAACACAAACTAATATGAAAATGGTTTCTTTTCCTATGTTAGTTTGGATTCTCGTTCTTTATATATCATGTACCATTCAAGGCAACATATTGTTTTTATTCTGTTTCTTGCTAAGGTTGTTTGTTTTGATATGCTTGTTTCGCATGCCAATGGAATCATCCAATGAGGAACTTGATTTTAGAAGTTAGGCTAGGATTATGCTGGTTTATTCTGGTATTGCTAATGCGTGTTTTGTTTGTGAACTTAGAAGTATAAATTTGATCCCTGATGCTATCTATGTTGAAAATAATTGCCAGCATAGAACAAGTTTGGGTAAAATCTTGGTAAAGAATAATTTAGTGTGATATTGAATCAGCCATGACTAGACCCAAACCATTGGTCAATCAAATCTTAAGAGTTAAGACATTTTTGATATGGCAAGGATCAGATTGTTGGCTGTTGTTAAGAGTTAAGAAGCTATAAAAATGATTCTATATCTAGCCTTAAACTGTGGCATTTCTTTTGCAAGTTGTTGAGGAGAGTGGAGGGTTTTTTCTTCCATTGTAAACTTTTTAATTGCATTTTGCTTTGGATGGTTAGACAGAGGTTGTGGATGGGATTAGAAGTATGTTAAGTTTCATTGGTTGAAAACTTGGAATTGGGATCCTCTTGGTTCAAATTCTTTAATTTGTGGATTTTCAGATTAGAACTGCTGTTTGGAGGGATTGCTCTCAAGTTTTGGAGTCATTTTTGGATTTGTCTCAAGTTTTGAATGACTAATGGATTTCAAAGTGCCTAAAAATTCTGAATATATAATCTTTATCCTCTCAAAGGCCAATATAAGTTGCTCTCAAAATTTTTGGTTCTGTTTCCTGTTAAAGTTTGTTTGGTTCAGCCTCATATCAAGCGTTCTTTAGATTGTTAAATGTTTAATCATTAATGTGCTAAACAATAAGAGTCTCAGCTCTTGCGTTGTTTGACCATGATTGTCTTTTGTTTTAGGTATATGGCATATATTATGGACACTAATGAAGAGGAGAGAGTTAAGGTACTCTAAGATGTGGTAACCATGTTAACATTTTTGGATTCCATATTGTTGCTAATTTTTTTTTTTAATGTTTGCAATTTTTTTTTTCCTGAGAAATGCCATTGCTCTTTGTTATTTGCACAATCTGACACAGCTGATTGTAGGGTATTACTGTGGAAGTTGGAAGAGCACGCTTTGAGACTGAAAATACTAGGTTTACCATTTTGGATGCACCGGTAAGCAATTATTTTGAAGCTAAAACACCATCATTTTGTATTTTTTTATATGATTTCCTGTGTTTATTGTTTAATTTTTGTTGGATAAGGTTATACTGTTTAGCCAGTTTATTGCTTTTGGACTTCTGTATTTTGTGAATTATGATATGATTCTATGAGGTTGAAAAAGGTGAGGGATAGATGGGGTAGTTTCTAATTAATGCTTTAATAACATGCACAATCTCAGGCCAATGTAAAAGAGAACTATGTGATGGTTTCTAATTCTTAAATGAAACTCTCCTTTTTGATGCAAGCAGTGTTGCAAAACACTGTGGGTGGACTAGTGCCCAGTGCCCAGGTGCACCCAGATGTGTCTGAATGCTTTGCCTTTTAATTTTTTTTTTTTTTAAGTCAAAAAAGTCATAAAAAATGGGAGAAAAAAAATCAGAAATTGAAAAAAGTTGAAAATTTAAGGGCTACATGGCATGTTTTATGAAACTTAAAGGACTAAGCTGCCAAAAATAATATCAAAATGCAGCTAATCATTTAACCCAGCACAACCTTCTTCAACCTTTGGAAACTGGGTTGGGTCAGGTCTGGTCTGGTTGGCAGGTCAGATTTGGGCCACTGGCATGTGAGGGTGTGTTCTGGCGCCTTTCTCACTAAAACTCCAACCGAGTAGCTTGCCGGGGCCCTCTAAGTTTCTGATGTTGCTTCTTGGATTATGGCACAATTTTGTTCTGGACTGCCGTTCGTCTGGCTGTCCAAGGGGTGAGGTGGTGTGGTGACCAGTCCTCCTGGTCAACTAATCCCGACTTCTGCAACACTGCCTGCAAGCCATCCTCATTACATTTGATTAGAATTTTTGAGAATGTGACAGCATAGCTACTTGTGATTATAAATACTTATCAAGTTTGTGTTTGCGAACAAGTTTGTTAAAGCTCCTGTTACACTATGCGTTTAGAGCCTTTTCTTGTCTAAAAGGAATTTTTAATCTAAATGATGGAGTTATGTACAATACTGATGTACAGAAGTTGTGAATTTGTTTACAGAATAAGATTCTCAGCTCTTGTATTCTTTGGCCATAATTTGTTGCGTTTTGAATGTATATTTTCCATCAGTTTTGCTTCTGTATATAGTTTAACTTTGAGTTTTGGGTTGTTTGTTCAGGGTCACAAGAGTTATGTCCCAAATATGATCAGTGGAGCAGCTCAAGCAGATATTGGTGTTCTGGTGAGTTAGGCGTCACTTCACCGCATTTGTTTTGCACAAGTCCCTTTTTTTGAATTTTTAATTCTTTCTCCTTCTCTGTCTTGTTCTCTATTCGACTGTCATAATTAGGTTATTTCTGCTCGTAAAGGCGAATTCGAAACTGGATATGAGAGGGGTGGGCAAACCCGTGAACATGTTCAGCTTGCAAAAACTTTGGGTGTATCTAAGCTGTTCGTGGTTGTGAACAAAATGGACGATCCCACTGTTAACTGGTCGAAAGAAAGGTGCTGTTCCTGAATATAGTTAAGTTTATGCTTACATATGCTGTTTTATTTCTGTGTTCCTGTTCTGATGGTTCATTCTTCATGGCACTCACTCAGATATGATGAAATTGAATCTAAGATGGTACCATTTCTGAGGTCTTCAGGCTACAATGTGAAAAAGGGTAATTGATATATTGCTTCTCGAATCTCTTTATTTATTTATTTATTTATATGGGAAAATGGTGATTGATTGAATTAAAATTGTGAGTTATTTGTATTTTTTCAATAAAAGCAAAGCAAGTAATTCTGTATATTGATTGTGTTTTTCATCTTATTCTGAACCTCTAGATGTCCAGTTTCTACCAATATCTGGTCTTCTTGGTTCCAACATGAAAACGAGACTGGACAAGAGCATATGCCCCTGGTGGAATGGCCCCTGCCTCTTTGAAGTTCTTGATGCAGTTGAAATTCCTCCTAGAGATCCAAATGGTTCTTTTAGGTATGATTTATTATTGTAGGAATTAATACAACCCTAGGAAGAAAGTATAATTGTATAACTATACCCTTTCTCCCTTTGTTATAGAAAAGGCTACATAGTTACTTATAAGGACTTTGACTATTTCTTGAGTCCCTATGACTTTGATTCGGAACATAAGATAAGTAAATAACTGGCTAGGATTCTTAGAAAATAAGACCTAAAAAATCTAATTCCTAAAGATCCTAGAATGACCAAAATGTACGCAAACTATATTTTTAAAGGAAAACCTAAATCATGGAACTGAAATTATATTAAGTCTGTCCCTGAACATAGAAAAACTTAAGTATAATAAAATAGAACCCCAAATTACTAAAATTATAGGATTTTTCTAACTTGTGCCCCAAGGGTACAGGTTAAGGGTGTATTAAATGCACCTTTTTGTCATCAATGTATATAGAAAATGTAAAAACTGGTATTAATTTTAGTGTCAGGTGAATTTAATTAGACGGTTAATAGATTAAAAATTGACTTTTATTTTTTCTATACAAATTTTTGATGAAAAGGTGTATTTAATACATCCTTGATCTGTGGCCTTAGAGCACAGGTTAGACAAACCCAAAATTATATTAAGTCTGCCCCTGGCTAGAACCCCTGAACTATCAAGGCTGTATCAATCTTTCATTTCACATCTATTAACTATATGTTTTCTAAATATGCAGGATGCCTATAATTGACAAATTTAAAGACATGGGAACTGTTGTGATGGGAAAGGTTGAATCTGGTACCGTGCGTGAGGGTGATTCCTTATTGGTCATGCCAAACAAGGTGCTTAGTCTTTCCCCTAATTTCTTTAGTTTATTTATTGTTAAACTTCGATGTTGAAGTCCAAGATGTATGGATGGCAGGCTCAAGTGAAAGTTCTTGCCATTTACTGTGATGAAGACAAGGCTACACGTGCTGGACCTGGTGAAAATCTGCGGGTTAAGTTATCTGGAATTGAAGAAGAGGACATATTATCTGGTTTTGTCCTGTGTAGTCTTGGTAAGTGCTCTTAAAGATTGTAAAAACTGAAGGCTCTCATGTTTGATCCCCTAAAGAGGAAATTAGATTATAGAAAGTGGAGTTAAAAAAGTAAATGGTAGGATAATTTACAAATTTGTTTGCAGAAATATTTCCGTTCTTTTGTAGTTTTTGATAGCAATGCTGGGACATCTTGGCCTCACCATTCCTTTCTATATTTATTTTCTAATTTTGATTCTGAAGTGTTATTTGTGATTTTGTTTAAGTTTTGCTGAATTATATCCTTTTTTTTTCTTTTTTACCCAGCAAAACCAATACCAACAGTCACTGAATTTACGGCCCAGCTGCAGATCCTTGAGTTGCTTGACAACGTATGAATGAATCCACTTTATAAATCCTCTCATCTTTAATCTTTTAGTTCATTTGATTAACTTTGCATCTAATTGTATCGGACTGTCTGCCATTTTAGGCAATATTTACAGCTGGGTATAAAGCTGTCTTGCACATTCATTCTGTTGTTGAGGAATGTGAGATTGTTGAGCTTCTACAACAAATTGATCCCAAGACAAAGAAACCCATGAAAAAGAAAGTTCTATTTGTTAAGAATGGTGCTGTTGTTGTTTGCCGCATTCAGGTTTACCTCTTGCCTTTTCAATCATTTTGAAATTCCAAAGTGTCTATTCTCCGATATTTGTAATTATCTAGAATTGTGAATGTTTTTTAATTCAACACAGTATCATCCTCCTGCTTGATAATTGTGGGACTGCTAGAATTTCTATATATATTGAAGCTGTAGCATTGCTCTGTTATTTATGCACCTTCCAAGCTTTCCAAGATTTGAAGTGGTCGAAATCTGCAACCAATATTACTTTTTGTCAATTGGTTTTCACTGGCGGTTTATTTTTAACAGGGAAAGAAGTTTTGCTTTGAAGTAGTGACCAGCCCAATTATACTTGAAACATTTTTGTGTTTGAAATTTGGTTCATGAATTATATCTTTGTGGCAATATTGTCTCAGGTGAACAACTTGATTTGTGTTGAGAGATTCTCAGATTTTGCACAACTTGGAAGGTTTACTCTTCGAACTGAAGGTGAGCGGTTGCATTTTCATTATTCATGAATTACCCTGGGCATGCAGTGTGTAATTTGGATTGCTGTGTCTCCAGGAAAAACAGTTGCAGTGGGAAAAGTCATGGACGTTCCTTCAAGTGCCATTGCATAAAAAAGTTTTGTTGTTAGAGGTGAGAAATTAAATTTATAGTTTTGTTTGAAAAATACAATCTCTAATGGGATGTTTAACGTATGGCTAATTCACCCTGGCAGGTACGTCCACCGGACTCTCCTTGTGAATGGGTGTAAGTTGCAACGCAGAATCAACTTAAATGAAGTTGCCGCGTTAACAATATATTGATGTCTGAAGGAGAGGTGAGGTGCCGATGCCACAGGTGCTTGGCATTGGTACTTTTGATATACTTATGGGTATGTAATGTTTAACTTATACACCCATTGGCATTTTTGGAACACATGATTGTAATACATGGTTTTCACATCAGTTTGTTGGAAAATATTTAGTTTTGGTTTGGGCATTGTTTGCCATGAAAGCATTTAGTTTGTCATTTGGGTTTTGGTACAATATTTATGTGTAAAAACTTATTGACTGCTCTTTCATCGTCTGTGGCATCCTGGTAATAAATTGAACTGGCAGAAAGAATACAAAGTGATAGCCTTGCTACTATTTTGCATCATTCGGTAAGAGTACATTTAGCCATGTAATCTCAACCTGATAACTAGAAGTAGCAAAATCGCACCTGACACGATAATTTGGCACTAACTCAATTTGTAAAGGTGAGTTAAGATAAAGTAGTATTGGACTTGTGATCTGTTCATGGGGCAAATATGGGTCAACATGTGAGCTCATGTGTTGATCTGTTTAATTTGTTTGTTTTTTAAATTTTAAAAAA